CTAGTAGATCAGGGCCAGACAGAAGGCAGGGTGAACTACGCGTCCCCTAGAGAGCGAGTTGGCAACAGGGACCAACAGCCTTTAAAAGGTATACTCTCTCGTCTGCCACTTCGCAAGCAGGAAGACTTTCTATGGAAATAACCAGTGAGCAAAGATTTGTGCCAGGACATTTATCTCAGTGGGGCTTTCAAATATCAACACATGGGAAGCTGAATACTATGCAACCGCACGATGATGGGATCTCGAGATGTTCAGTGAAGAGGAAAAATGTCCAGATACAGGAAGGAAAGTCTATCCGCAGTTTGAAGGGTGAGCCAATTCTGCAGAAGCGTATGACTGCTTATGGCCATGAATACGTAAAGAAAGCCGTCTGGAGGTTCACATGTCCAAAAGCTAACAGCGGTGTGATTTTTTTTTTTTTTTTTGGCTTGGCTCATGCTTAAGTTTTTTTCTGTGAGGATCAAGCATGACTCATATTAAGAAAAAAGCATCCAGGATGGGAAAGTCCGGAAGGGCATTCCTGCACAGGGAACAGTGTTCAGAGAATCACCAGCACCCAAGAGTAGGGCTTGACTGGAGGGGTGCAGAGGGTACCGCAAGTGGGGAGAGAGGGCAGGTGCCCAGGGGTCTCGGGAGCCCCTAGTATGGGTGCAGGCTTTAATCCAACCAGAGGTAAACAAGACAGATCCGTGAACGGGGCTGCAGCTGTTGGCTTCAGCATAACAGGCCGTCCATGAGGGTGGAGAGTTGATTCCTTCTGATCCCCTGAGGGACATATGGGGCCACTGCGGAGAGACCAGACACCAGGACAGGGCTGCCCAGGAAGGCAGAAGGCAGGACAGCCAGGCACTGCAGTAGCCTCCTTAGCTGGTATTGGTGGGTGGAATGGCCAACAACCAACCAACGCCATATCCCCAACATAAGGACCAGGGCCAGGCCCGCGAGAAACATTCTGCGCTTTGAGGGTGGCAGTCCCTTCCTCTTAGCCATCACCATGCTCCTCCTTTCTCCTGCCTCCAGTGCCCAGCCCTTGGTTGGCACCCAACCAGTATTTGCTGAATGAATAAACATCCATGATGATCTGCACTCTCCCCCATTCCCAGTACCATTCATTTATTTGTTCATTCACACTGCAAACACTGACTGTGGCTACGTCTAGGGCTACAGAGATTAACAAGGCTCCTGCCTCCAAGAACGATACTGACGTGCTGGACCAGAAAGCTCCAGCTCAGTGGTGGGTGGAAACCCCACAGTGCAGGTCGGCCTGGGTGCCATGAGAACCCACAGTAGAGCATCTGACGCTTGGGCCAGGGGAGGCCTCCTTAAGCAAACACGGCTGGGACCTCAACAGTTTGAGGAGGGGAGTGACACGGTCACATTCAGGCTATCAAAGAGGCCCCTCTGCTGCAGTGAGGAGGGCAGTCTTCAGTCTTCAGTCTTCAGGGAACGCAGGGGCCAGTTAAGAGGCCAAAGCGATAGTGCGGGCCACAGGTGGTGATGTCCTGGGCTAGGATGGTGGCTGATGAGAAAGAGGAAAGGGATGGACTGAGAAACACCAGGTGGGTGACAGCCAAGGACACTCCTAGATTTCTGAGCAGAGCCATCAAGTGGATGGTGGTACCATTGGTTACAGTGGGGGCAACTGGAAACAAGTGGCTGGCTTTCGGGAGAGTTAGGTCAGTTTGGAATACACTGAATTTGAGGGACTGAAGGCGTCTGGAGCTCAGAACAGCTTTCTGGTCAAAAAGGAGGTGGCAGAGAGGGCAGCTGGAAGCCATGGGGTGACTCTGCCCACCCCGACTATCAGCTTTGGAAGAAGAGGGCAATGCATAACTCCGAGAACCGGCTGAGTCGAAGGCTGGGGGAAAGGCGCTAAAGACAGAGAGGGTGTGGCCTCAGGGCAGTTAGACAGATGGGGGGAGGAGGTGCTTCTGAAAGCCAGTGGGAGAGGATGCTTCTGGAAGCGGGTGGAGACAGGGAACAGGACAGTCTGTGGGTGAGAGGCCAACACACACAGCAGTGGCTCTCGCTGGGGAAGACTGCCTCCTAGAGGACATGTGGCAAATGCCAGGACATTTTTGGGTTTCACCATTGAGAAGGTGCTACTGGGACCACGTGGGTTGAGGCCCCGGGCCAGCACAGTGGCCAGGGCACAAAATGTGGAAGAACTCTGAGCTAGAAGAAGCTCAAACTCTGGAAGGAATTCCTTTCAAGACACTCGAAGCCCAGGAAAAGTGGGTACTTGGAGAGCCCGAGGCTCTTGGGAAACCAGGAAGGGAAGGAAGGATTGGGCTGGAGAGGTGGAGATGCTGTTAGTTCCACTGTGAGACAGGAGGCGGTTATCAGCTGAGGGTGAGCAGGGAAGACAGAGGCCTGAGGAGGGCAAACAGGGAAATGGCTGCTGTGGGACTCAGGGACAACCGTGTGGTGAGCGGAGCTAGGCCAGGGATCAGATTTGCTGGGGTGCCTGCCTGGTCGTGTGAGAGGCTGTCTTGCAGGGTTGGGAGAAAACAGTTGGCTGGAGAGAGGGGTGGTGAGACCTAACACTGCGCCCCAGGCCCTGCCAGCAAGGAGGTTTGCCCACACTGGCAGCAGGATGAGTAATGCCAGGCTGCAGCACGTTCTCCATGAAACTCCAGTCACTGACTTCAAGAGCTACTAGCAAGAGGCTGGGCTAGTAGCTCTTGCTCTTTCATCTGAAAGCCCAGGCCCAGCCACTCCACAACTCCTGGTGCGCCCATTACTAACTACTGTCCAAAGATAAGACAGGGCTCATCTCTGAACTGAACTAATTCCCAAATTACACTTTTGCAGCCTTCGCTGGTTCTCAAAACCAGTTCTCTCCAGACTGAGCCAAATCTAGGTGTTCCTATTAGCATAGCTCACATTCCTTTGAAAACCACAACAAGAAAACAGACAGAGAAATCAGGTTCCAGGAGAAGGATGGCAAATTCTGTGGGAATGCCTGGAAAATCTCTGGTGCCCAGGAATACCAAGGAAAATTCCCTTCCACCAGAAAGTAAGAGGAGAAAGGCGAGACTTGTTAGTGGCACAGGAGAATTTTTAAAACCTTCCATTATTCAGGATGGTCTCCTGGCTTCTAGAGTATTCTAATACGTAAGTTTGTATATTGCATAAAGTCCCTATTGAGAAGGTGTTTATTAAATCAGACTTTCAGAGATGGAAGGACAGAAGGTTTTTGTATTCAGTGCCCCCATCTGAAGAGCTAATTTTCTGTACAGACACCAGACAGGCTCTTGGGGAGGCATTCAGGGGTCAGGTGTCTTAATGTAACTGGGGAAACACTGAAGATAAAGTGTGATGATGGGCACATTACGTTCAACACATCACTCTATGTTCATGTATGCTTGAAATTTTCCGTAACAGAACTTTTTTTTGAGGTGGAGCCTCGCTCTGTCGCCAGGATAGGGTGCAGTTGTGTGAACTCAGCTTACTGCAACCTCTGACTCCCTGATTCAAGTGATTCTCCTGCCTCAGCCTCCTCAGTAGCTGGGATTATAGGCATATGCCACCATGCCCAGCTAATTTTTGTATTTTTACTGAAGACAGGGTTTCACCATGTTGGCCAGGCTGGTCTCCATCTCCTGACCTCATGATCCGCCTGCCTCGGCCTCCCAAAGTACTGGGATTACTGGCATGAGCCACCGTGCCTGACCCTTAACTTTTAAACTAGTTTTCTTTTTAATTTTTTTGGGACAAGGTCTCACTGTTGCCCAGGCTAAAGTGCAGTGGTGCAATCTCGGCTCACTGCAACCTCCACCCTTCAGACTCAAGTGATCTTTCTGCCTCAGCCCCCAAGTAGCTGAGACCACAGACATGGAACACCATGCCCAGCTAAGTTTTTGTATTTTTGGTAGAAATGGGGTTTCACCATGTTGCCAAGGCTGGTCTTGAACTCCTGAGTAAGTGATCCTCTCAGCTCGACCACCCAAAGTGGTGGGATTACAGGCATGAGCCACCTGGCCTTAAATGAGTTTTCAGTATAGGGAATCACAGTCCCCAAACCCAGGATGGCAGCCAGAGCACCGGGAGGAGTGACCATTCCTTGGCTTCCTAAAGCAGGGCAGAGACAAAAAGGAAGGGGGGCGGTGGTAGAGGAAGGAGGAAGAAGAGGAAGAGCGGGTGTTGGGGGGAGGAGGGGGGAGGGGGAGGAAGAGGAGGAGGAGGAAGAGAGCTCCCCACATGGTCTGTCCATAATTCTCTCTAGAGTCCTTGAAGTCATGCTGTCAGAATGGAGGCCACTCTGTAAGTAGGGCCTTAACAGGTGCCAGGCCCTCTGCAAACACCTATGAGGTAGGGACCACCAGGATGTAGAAGCCACCATCTCCACATTCCGGACAGGGACACAGAGGCTTATAAGTTCTGCTGTGAGGAAGTGGAACAGCGGGGCTTTCAGCTGCCAGGCTCCCGCCCCTCTGAGAGTTTAAGCTCAGCGTGGTGCAGAAGTTCAAGTTGATGACGTTGACAGTAAAGAGAGCAGCCCAAACATAACGAAGGGCTGTCCACAAGACCCTCTGTGTTCTGCTGACCTGGGCCTGACCAAGCATGGGGGCCTCAGTGGGCAGACAGGGGTAGGCCTGCCTGTGCCTGCCCTGGACAGGACACTTGCCAGGGTCCTTTCCACACACGGGACCCAATCAATCAGCCCAGGCCAAGCCAGGTCAGGCTGTGCTTTTCCAGCCCCTTCCAGCTTTCAGAACGCCCTGTCTCTGGTTCCTTCCTCTCCTCCCACTGTCTTATTTGGTACATGTTCCCTGTCTTAACAATGAATTTTTCCTCTTTTGGGAACTTATGGCCAATGTTATACAAAAGCAATGGACAAAATGGAGTTTGAAATGAAAACGAAACTTCACAGTCAACGTTTCAAGGCTGCAGTTATCCTGCACTGTGGAACGTCACAGAGTCACAGGCAAAGGAGGCAGTGTCCAATGGGATGGCCACCAATACCTGCTCTACAAAAAATGCCTCCATTTCTTTACCTGCTACTTTATCCCGAATAAGTTTTGCAGATTCAACTTCACCAATGCTGCTGAACAGGCTTCGTAACTCATCCTGGGTCATGTTCTGAGGGAGGTAGTTGACGATCAAATTCGTTCTCCCGATGTCACCCCTGCAGTCTTCGGCCATGTGGTCTTCATAACCATTAGACATTGTATTTTTCAAAAATCTGCACAGGAAAAAAGGGCAAGTAAATTCCGAATGTTCACACTGCAGTATGTGAAGATAAAACTAGTTAAGTGCATTTGCACTAGATTTTTTTCTTTCTTTCTTTTCTTTTTGAGACAGAGTGAGACTGTCACCCAGGCTGTAGTGCAGTGGCATGATCTCAGCTCACTACAACCTCTGCGTCCTGGATTCAGGCAATTCTCCTACCTCAGCCTACTGAATAGCTGGAATTACAGGTGCCCTCCACCATCCCCTGGTAATTTTTGTATTTTTAGTAAAGATGGGTTTTGCTGTGTTGGCCAGGCTGGTCTCAAACTTCTGGCCTCAAGTGATCCTCCCGTCTCAGCCTCCCAAATTGCTAAGATAAGAGGTGTGAGCCACGGCGCCTGGTTCTGCACTTAGAGATTCTTTTCTTTGCTGTATATTAACTTACAGTCACACCAAAATCTGCATGTGGATGTTTACAGCAGCTTTATTCATAATTGCCAAAACCTGGAAGCAACCAGCAAGTCCTCCCATGGGTGAATGGATAAACAGACTCCATTTGTGTGGTTCTGTACACGGGCATTTTTTTAATGATAAAAAGAAATGAGCTATTAAGCCAGGAAAGGCATTTAAAGAAACTTTAAATGCATATTTAAGTTATGATTAAATCTGTGTGATTCCAAGTCTGTGACCTTCTGGAAAAGGCACACTACAGAGAAAAAGATCAATGGTTGCCAGGGATGTGAGTGGGCAGGGAAAACAAACAGTGGAACACGGAATTGTCAGGGTTTTAGGGCAGTGAAACCATTTTGCACAAAATGTAATGGTGGGTGTGGACAATACATGTTTGTCAAAATCCACAGAATGAACAACATACAGAGTGAACTGAACTCTGAATTACGGGCTTTAGTTACTAATAATGTATCAATATTGATTCACCAAGAATAAAAGAGGTACCATGTGAATGTGAGATGCTAATAATGGGTGTGGTGGCACCAACACAGCTCACTGTAGCCTCGAACTCCCGGGCAATCCTCAAGCGATCCTCTCATCTCAGTCTCCTGAGTGGCTGGGAATACTGGCATGTGTCATCACACTCGGCTTATTTTTGAAACTTTTTGTAGAGATGGTATCTCGCCCAGGTTGGTTTTGAACTCCTGGCCTCAAGTAATCCCTCCGTCTCAGCCTCCCAAAATGCTAGGATTACTGGCCTGAGCCACTGTGCCCAGTTTCTTTCTTTTTTAAAAATTTTTTATTCAGGCCGGGCGCGGTGGCTCATGCCTGTAATCCTAGCACTTTGGGAGGCCGATGCGGGTGGATCACGAGGTCAAGAGATCAAGACCATCCTGGTCAACATGGTGAAACCCCGTCTCTACTAAAAATACAAAAAATCAGCTGGGCATGGTGGCGTGTGCCTGTAATCCCAGCTACTCAGGAGGCTGAGGCAGGAGAATTGCCTGAATCCAGAAGGCGGAGGTTGCGGTGAGCCAAGATAGCGCCATTGCACTCCAGCCTGGGTAACAAGAGCAAAACTCTATCTTAAAAAAAAAAAAAAAAAAAAAATTTGTTTATTCAGCCAATACTTCATTCTAAAGCCAAGGAATGAGTGCTTTCCACTTTACAATTTTTCTGTAAATCTAAAACTGCTCGAAAAAACAGTCTATGAACACAAAACAGAACAACTCTGTCCACTAGGAGGGCTTCGAAGAGATCTACAAACAATTCCAGCACCACAATTTAAGATCCTGTAAAAAAAAAACCTTTGGGTTGTCTCTCGAGAACATTCCAGATTTCCAACTGCTTCCTCCCCATGTCCGGAGCCCGTGGGGTGCGCCTGAACCCCACGCCTGGACACTCTGTTGCCGAGGGGGCAGGCAGGCAATGGTCCTCTGCATCTGTTTATTCCCAAAGATGCAGTGACTGAGCTGGAAAGAGGTGAGGGTTTCTGTACCAGTCAGAGGAACTTGGTCTTCACAGCTTGCAGGCTTTGAAATGTCTTTCTCAGTTGCTGAAGTCTTTCCTTTCAGTGATAAACATCAGAGCCAGTGATGGCTTTGGACAAGAGTCTGGATCAATGCAGCCGAGAGTGCCAAGTCTGCCCTTCTGAAAGTGTGTCGCACACTGAGCTCGCTCCTCAGAGGTCCCTCGTCCCTGCCTCTAAACATGCAGGTAGTCACCCCTGTGGATGACCACTCCCCCCGGGGAGGTCTTGGCGAGAGCCCACCCGTTTCCCTGGATCCCTGTTGCTCAGTTCTTTGTTATGTTTGAACACCCAGTGCCCACGGTCACCCGCCTTTGGCCTTCTCTAAAAATAGCCTTGCCAGTGGTTACATAAAAATCCGAACACATCTGTCACATGGAGACTTCCTACCTACTCCCTGAATCAACGCTGAGGGAAGAATTAGGTCTGGTTTCTTTTTTCCTGGGGGAAACATCCAGGTCTTCCCTACCCTCCTACTACTCTCGGATACTGTGCAAAATCAGTACAATTTCCTAGCATTTCTTTTACTTGAGGATATCCTATGCTCTTTGCTCTACAGAAAGTAGGTTAGCATCAAAAGCCATAGAAGAAAAGATTGAAAAGTGAGACTTCGTGAAATTAAAAACTTCTGTACAGCAAAAGGCATCATAGACCAAGATGAGGAGAAGTAGCCGGGGGGAAAAGATTCACTGCACATTCTACCATTTAGACCTGTAGTTCTTACCCTGTGCCATTCTGCCCCCCAGGGGACACTAGGCAATGTCTGGAGACATTTTTGGTTACTGTGACTCTGTCAGGGCCAGGGGTTGTGGGGTGCTGCTGACATCTGGTGGGGAGAGGTCAGAGAGCTTTAAAGCATCCTTCAGGGCACAGGTCGGCCGCACAACCAAGACTTATCTAGCCCTAAATGTCAGTACTGCCAAGGCCGGGAAAACTTAATTCAGAACATCTACAAATTAGCAAGCAATAAAAGAAGAGACATAACCAAGAGGGAGGTAGATAAAGGATATTAGTGGCAATTTATAAAGGCCTGAAATTCACATGGCTCATAAGTCCAGAAAAAGACACTGAACTTCATCTTCACGAACAATGAGGAAAATGAAAAAGAAAACCAGATGCTACTTTCTGCCAGGTGCATGGAATAAAATCCAGTGCAAGATCACCTGCTACTGATCTGAGTATGAGACGGGTACAACCTTCTGACTCACAACTGCAGGAATCTGTTCTACAAAAATAATCTCACAAGTGCAGGAGTTCAAGACCAGTCTGGGTGACAACGTGAGACCCTGTCTCTAACAAAAAATAAAATAATTTAGTGAGCACAGTGACCCGCACCTGTAATTTCAGCTACCCAGGAGACAAGGGCAGGAGGATCGCTTGAGCCCAGGAGATCAAGGTTGCATGTGATCCAGCCTGGGCAACAGAACAAGACCCGGTCTCAAAACAAAACAAAACAAAACAAATGCAAGGAAGTCACTACCACGTGGTTCGTAAGATTATAAAACTGGATGTAATCTAAATATTTGTTAATGGGGAATGGCTAAATAAATATCAACTTTCAGTACCAGCTTGGGACCACCAGGATTACAGTTTAATCGTGAGAAACTCCACGTGTCTGTTACACTATCTGTGGCCATGAGATTTTAAAATAGATCACTGGCTCAAAATCAAACAGGCGAAAATATTTGCTGGAGGCTGATCCAAACAGAGCACAAGGGTTAACTCTAAAGACCTAAATGCAACTAAAGCTTGTTCAAAATGTGATTCAAGCATTTCCTTTCTTTCTTTCTCTTCTTTCCTTTACCTTTCCTTCTCCTCACCCTTTCTCTAAGAGTTAGACATCTACTCTGTTTTACCCTCATTCTGCTTTCATGGAGAGTGAAACGGACAATGGTTGCCCCATGCTTACTGCCCACAGTGTGGTATCCTCTAGGCCTGGGAAAAAGTGGACCTTCTGAAACACACATCATGGCCTGTGCGACAAATCTGGCCCACTGCCTGTTGTTATAAATAAAGTTTTATTGGAACACAGCCTGTCTCATTTGTTTATGTATTGTCTGTCTATAGATAGTTTTGTACTACAATAACAGAGTTAAGTAGTAGCAACCGTATGGTCCAAAAAGCTGAAAATATTTACCATCTGGCTCTTCACACACACAAAAATATGCCGACCTCTGTTCTAAAATGTAAAAATATAAAATTTCTAGGAGAAAAATCTTTGTGGAGTTGGGCTGGGCAAAGACTTCTCAGACATAATACGAAAAGTCCATTTCATTAAAAAAAAAAAAAAAGATAACCCAGATATCATCAAAATTTAAAACTTTTGCTCTGTGAAAGACACTGCTAACAATTAAAATCCACTGACTGAAGTAAACATTTGCAAAAAGGACTTATAGTCAGAATACTTTTTTTTGTTTGTTTTTTGGAGTCAAAGTCTTACTCCACTGCCCAGGCTAAAGTGCAATGGCACAATCATAACTCACTGCAGCCACAAACTCCTGGGTTCAAGCAATCCCCCTGTCTCAGCCTTCCAGCTAATTTTTTACTTTTTGTTGAGATGGGATCTCACCATGTTGCTTGTACTGGTCTCAAATTCCCAGTGTCAAGTGATCCTCCCAACTCAGCTTCTCAAAGTGTTAGAATTATTGGCGTGAGCCACCTCACCCAGCCCAGAACACATTTTTTAAGCTCTCAAAACATAATAAGTGGCCGGGCGCGGTGGCTCAAGCCTGTAATCCCAGCACTTTGGGAGGCCGAGGCGGGTGGATCACGAGGTCAAGAGATCGAGACCAGCCTGGCCAACATGGTGAAACCCCGTCTCTACTAAAAATACAAAAAATTAGCTGGGCATGGTGGTGCGTGCCTGTAATCCCAGCTACTCAGGAGGCTGAGGC